CTTTCATACTTCATCCCTAAGAATAGAAATAATCGTTATTTCTCCTTAAAATAAATTTCGATTTTTCGTTTAAAAGAAACATTTGCGGTATATTTGTCAAATTTCGTTTTAAAATCATAACCCTATTATATTGTATTATTAAATAGAAGGTTAAAACAAACCAACATACCCCCATAGCTTAGATGGACTTGCTGCGGTTGTACATACTTTGGTTGTGGTTCTTCTTCACCAAAACAAATTCCTAAAAGGAACAGAAGAACTACAGTCGAGCAAAACTTCCTCATTCTGCAAGACCTAGCTTCTGCGTGTCAGGAATTTATACAAGCCATGTACAAATGAGATAACAAAATTTGACCAATAGCTGCAACCATGAATCGTGATCTTTAAAACTGCTAGAATCATTTTAACGCGCAAAATAACGCCGTTGTTACTTTTTAAAATCCCGTTATTTTAAATTCCATTTGTTTGTATAAATACTTATAATATAAAGAATATTATAATTGAGAAATATGTAACTGGATACAATGATGATTGAACAAAGTTTCCTCTTTGGTTTATATGAATTCCACAAGGCCGCAGTCACCGAGAATAATAGAATCGCCGAATGTCGTGGTCCATTTGAATGGGAATGTTTCAAACAAATGGACTTCGTCTAGCAAGAAGCTCGATCAATGTTATAAATAAGGAAGCATATATATGGATAACTAATCCGTATCCTCGACGTTAAAAATAATGAAAAATCAAACATTGATTTTGGAAGTAGTCCAGCGAAAATAAATGTGAATCGAGAAAGGGAGGTAGAAGAGAACGAGGAACCTAGATTCCAAATAAACGAAAATCTTTCATCAAAGAAACAGAAGGAATTAAAACAAGTTTTAGAAAGGTATGGAGATCTGTTTTCGTCGAGATTAGGGAGAACCAATTTGACAAAAATCGGATTGACACAGAAGATACGAAGCCCATTTAACACAAGCCTTACAGGGTAAGTGATAAAGAACGAGATATTATAAAAGAGAAAATTGATGAGATGTTTACAGAAGGCATAATTAGGCCATCTTAAAGTCCCTGGTCTTTCCCAGTAATATTGGTCAAGAAGCGATATGGTAAATACAGATTTTGTGTGGACTACAGAAAATTGAATAATGTGACAGTAAAAGATGTCTATCCGATCCCTAGAATAGACGAAGTTATGGATACTCTCCAAGTATCTACATACTTCTCAGCAATAGACCTCAGATCTGGATATTGGCAAGTTGAAGTCGAAGAAAGAGACAAAGAGAAAACAGCATTCACTACAGCGCATGGTTTATATGAATTCAACTTGATGCCTTTTGGACTTTGCAACGCGCTTGCTACCTTTGAGAGAAATATGGAAAATATGCTTGGAAATCTGACATGGCAAATTTGTCTGCGTTATCTGGATGATGTTATCATATATAGCCCGGATTTTACAACGCATCTCAAAAGACTCGAAGCTGTTTTTAGATGTTTTCGTGAAACTAATTTAAGGTTAAACGACAAAAAATGCCGATTTTCTTTTGAAGAATTGGATATTCTCGGCTATATATAACGAGCAAAGAGGGTATAAAACCCGCGGAACATAACATCAAAGCTGCCAGAATTTTTTCTCGGCCCACAAAGGTCAAAGAAGTACAATCCTTTTTAGGAATGTGCTCATATTATAGAATATTTGTCAAAGATTTCTCAAAAATTGTTGACCCTTTGACCAACCTTATTTAAAAAAGTGTATCATTTATCTGGGCTGAAAGGCAAGAGAAAGCATTTCAAACCCTAAAAACAGCACTATTAAGTCCACCAATTTTAGGTCACTTTAATCCAAATGCGCCTACTTATATTCATACTGATGCGTCCAACATCGGCATAGGTGCAACACTTGTCCAAGAGATCGGTGGTGAAGAGAAGGTGATCTCATATTTGAGTCGTACTCTAAGTAAAGCGGAGCAAAATTATTCAACCACCGAAAAAGAATATCTGGCTGTTGTCTGGTCAATGTCAAAATTACGGCCCTACCTTTATGGAAGACACTTTAAAATAGTAACAAATCAACACGCCTTATGTTGGCTCAAAAACTTGAAGGATCCAACAAGTCGATTGGCAAGATGGGCATTAAAAATACAAGAATATGACTTCGATATAATACATAAATCAGGAAAGAAACATCTGGACGCCGATGGCTTATCTAGGGGACCCTTACCAGAAACTGATTGGGATGAGGATTTTGAAAGGCTATTTTTAAATCAAATAACAGACGAAGAGGACAAGTTAATCGAATGTGTTAAGAAAAACCTCAATGGAAGCAGGCGATCAATTGTGCAAAACTTTAAAGAAGAAGATGGATGCCTCTTTAAGAAAAACCCGAACCCTGAAGGCAGGGCGTGGTTGCTTGTGGTTCCAGAGAAGAAAAATAGAGAAATTATGAAAGAATATCACAATCATATGTCGAATGGCCATCTGGGTGTCGCCAGAACCATGTACCGAATAAAGAGTAAATACTTTTAGCCATCCATGCTGAAGGATGTCTCAGAATTCGTTAAGACGTGTCACCTTTGACAAAGTAGGAAAGGCTCAAACCAATCACCTTCTGGACTACTACAGCCCATTCCCCCAGCCAACTTTCCTTTCAAAAGAATTGGAACTACTACACTAGATATGTAGAAACAAGAGCAGTCTCGGAAGCAACGGTAAAAGAAGTTTCTAAATTTCTAGTAGAGGATATTTTATCTGGCACGGAGCCTCACAATATCTTATTAGTGACAGGGGCTCTCAATTTACCAGTAATTTATTGAAAGAGGTGATGAAAATGTGCAAGATTAAACATTGCTTCACAACGAGCTATCATCCCCAGACTAATGGATTGACAGAACGGTTAAATAGAACATTGATCAATATGCTCAGTATGTATGTGAACACTGATCAGAAGATTTGGGATGAAATACTCCCATTCATCACCCATGCTTACAATACCAAAATTTAGGAAACCACAGGATATTCTCCATTTTTTCTGATGTTTTAAGAGAACCCACGTCTCTTTTGGACGACAGGAATATCTCGGTGGACATTGACAAGGATGATTATGATGAATACATAGAACATCACTTAGATAAATAGACAGAACAAGAAAATTAGTTATTAACAATACAATAAAGACTCAAGAAAAAATGAAAAAGAACTATGACAAGAAACATATGGAAAGAGGCTACGAACCAGGAGAATTAGTAGAAGTATGGACACCAATTAGGAAAATAGGAATGTGTGAGAAACATCTGAGAAAATATTTTGGTCCATATAGAATATTAAAGAAGATGTCTAGTGTCAATTATCTAATAGAACCGAACGATAATCCGGGCCAAGACCCTCTGATAGTTCATGTTTCAAGACTCAAGCCTTATAATGAGAGAATGGATGAGGTCATTCACGAGGACGTGACAACCTCTGGAGGGGGGGAAGTGTTGCATCAATTTTAATGCGCCCTACATTTATTCAAAATATTCTATGATATTTAATATCCATTTAAAACAGATTATTTAGATTATCATCATTCCTTTTTATAGTTTCATTCCTTTTGTAATATTTTATTGTACATATATCTTGATTGGTTATTGGAGCGAGAGAGGACCTAGACGAAGACTGCGGTCACGACCTACGAGGAAGACAACGAATAAATAAACACAATAACTTTAAAAGGTAATTTATTTTTATTTATTTACTTTTATTTATTTGCTTTGAGTATGGAAACTCGCTCGGGAAACGTGTATAACACCAAGAAGGAAGAAACCAAGGTCGACGACCCTGCAAAGCTGCAACTTGGTAAAACAATAAAAAAATTTGAACCCTATTATTAAATTGAGAGAATGCAAATTGAATCAATTTTACATATATTCCATCACTTATATGCAAATTAAATATTCTTTAGATTATCACATCAAAACAAAATCCATTTACACTAAACCTTTATATTATCTAAGAATCTGGTATATATAGATGGGGTGTTGTAAGATTTTAAGGAACAGATGCTGTAAAAATTTACCAATTCGAATATCTGCTGTTAAGATCAATTTCCAATTTAAACCTAATAAATAGGGCTGGTGGTGAATACATATGAAACAATGTAAACAAAATGCTACCTAACCGATGATTTCCCTTTACCAGTCAAACGCTGTATAGCTCAATCGAGAATACTATTTACAGTCTTAAAAAAAAAAAAAAAAAACACGTTCTGACGTTTGAGGCCAAAAACTTAATATGTACACTGTGTGACAAGGAAATTACTGAAGAACTCCCCCATTACCTGCTTAATTGTACAGCCCTTGATGAAGAAAGGAAGGCCCTATATCAACAAATTAAATGTACCAACATTTCACCCTACGTATTGCTTTCAAAAATATCAGCAAACAAATCTAAGGCAATAGCTTACTATAAATATTTTAGATCATTATTATATAAGGACCAGTTAACAATTGAATGACTTTGAGACGAAGAGTAAAGCCAGTTCAATTTATATTTCACTACTATGTAAATAATACAAGATGATTGTTACCTTACCCAATTGGGAGAATTTGTATGGGGCAAGTCCTTAATAAAGGCTTTTGTGTGTATGTATATATGAAACAATGTTGTAAAAAACTTTATTTCTATCATCACAAGGTATATCAATGGTACAAGTAATGATGGTCCTCGGAGCCGACGCCGAAGTTCTGGCGATGTTTGATGACCCAGACGTCGTCGATAACTTTGTTCTAAACAGACAATTTCCGGTTAGCGATAGAATCAAAAGAAATTAACAGCATTTTACAAAATTAGCTTCAGAAAGGTTGAATATACAAAATATGAATGAAACCTATTTATTAAATAGAATTGAATTTTAAGAATTAATATATACACAGTTATCAGCGTTATAATCAAGCAACAATTCTTAATCAATTCTGTCACCGTTTGCTTTGTGAATGGAATAAATACCCAAATATGGCCATTTCTCATAACCATCGGTGGTTCAGTGGTAGAATGTTCGCCTGCCACGCGGTCGGCCCGGGTTCGATTCCCGGCCGATGCATTCTTTTTTTTTTTTACAATTTTTAAAATTCATTTATATATTATACAAGAATGACATCCACGGCGCCAATTTATAATTGTAACGAATAGTATTTGAATAAAAGCATTTAATCGGGTAAACCCCGGGCGTTGCCCGGGTCATTCGGCTAGTATATTATATTTGTTACAATTATATTTTTGCAGGAATGTTAATAATAGTGAAAAAGATGGTGCCAAAAGTTTATTGTGTTTTAATCAGAAGAAGGTCGAGCAATAGGCTCTTTAATGGTCTAATCTTTCAATTTGACACTCACGAGGAGACAGCTTTTATATACATACTAGCCGAATGACCAGGGCAACGCCCGGCTTTTACCCGATTAAATGTTTTTATTCAAATACTATTCGTTACAATTATAAATTGGTGCTGTGGATGTCACTCTTGTGAAACGTCCCGCTCCAAACTTTGTGTGTTTTTAAAATATGAAAATGTAAATTTTCACAACGATATTTGAAAATTCTATTATTCAGATTTTTATATGAAAATATTTTAAATTTGATATATACATAAAATGATGATAGCCAGTGATTTCTTGTCCCTACGCCGTCATTACATCACTCAAGGTCACTCTTGTGAAACGTCCCGCTCCACCAATCCTCGTTGCCCCACGTGGTCCATCCTTCCCCAACTTTACTTATCGCAGTTACCACAGTGAGGCGCTGGTTGCGAGTGAAATGGCGAAAATTTGTCAATAATTTGTTAATAACTCCAAGGATATTTGAGATAGAAGCCTGAATAATTTCTTATAAGTTTTTCCAGATTTAACTCTATATAGTGTTAAAATTTCAGCCAGATTAGTTACGTATTGTGGACGTGTATAGCCGACAAACATACATACATACATACATACACTGACTTATATATGTATATAGGGATAATATATTATTAATTTATATTGTATTAAATATTTTCAATAATGTGTGTCCTGTATTAGATTTACTTGATTTTCCAAAGTGAAGTTTAATAGATAATTTAATTTTAAAAATGTGTAAATAGGGAGAGAGATGTCAATTTAGGCCTATCGGGTTGGCTGATGCAATAGGCTCCTCATCTTGAATACTTATAATCTTTCTAAGAAATTAATAAAAAGTGACAATTTAATTTAACGGCGGAATATCCCAACTTCGTTCAGGGATTTGTACATCTCTCCCTTTCTACACATTTGCTGGTTCTTGCCTAGGCTCTTTCTCATTTCCTCAGAAAAACACATATGTAAAAATGGAATACCTGGTTGATGGAGTGCTGCTGTAAATGTACATGTGTGGCATTGTGCACAGTCATAACGGTGAAGCCGTAGTCAGAACTACGGTAGGCGCTCCATTCCGGTTTGTCAGGCACGAACTTTTCTGGATACTCTCTGTTGCCCTGCACACCCCCATATTAAACACTATTGAACAGGGAATATACATATATGTATCTATAGAGGCATATCTCCCTTTAATTATTGATCAGAATGATGCAATATATTATCATCACCTTAGTAAAAAACTTTACTAGTAGTGATGAAGAATGAACCACAACACAAGTTATTGAAAATTCAGACAAAAAGCCAACTACCATGGATTCGGGCTATGATCCTCATCAATACATGGGCGGCTTCGAGTTCATAACATCCTAAGAGAGGGGTCATGAAATCGGTCGAATTTACCAAACAGATGTTTAAGTTGGTGAAATGGCAAATGCCAATTTTCAGGCTAGAACACCATAAAGTTGCGGGAGGGGTATATTCATGTATAAGAGAGGTATTTCTAAGTTAAAGTATTTATTGCGCGTATTTAAAAAAATAATTTTATACTGTCATTATTGCAATGATAGAAATAATAAGATTATCTTGACTCATTGGATAAACTGGAGAAATCGCTGGGAGGGTTAGCCATTGATGAGCTAGGCTCCCTCCATTTTTTTTTTATCGTTGCAGTGAGGAGTGAAAAGAAGCGTAGGTGTTCCATAAATAGTTTACATATCAGTATTTAGGAGATGAAAGTATTAGAGCACGAATGTTTCTTTTAAACATAAACAAACTTCTACAATCCTTACTGCGATGAAATATATTGGGAGGGCTCTTGGCTCATGAGTGGTGAACCCTCCCAGTGGTTTTGCCAATTTATTCTAACAGATCATTTCTTTTAGAGATCTAATACTGTTTATGAATATTTATATAAAACAGCATATATTTATCGACATTTTGGGTGAAGGAAATTGATCTATAGAAGCACAGAGCGCCTCTCTAGTCGAGCTTAGACGTTTAATATGATGGGAAAGGCGCCCTGTGCTTATATATACGACCGCGACAAGCCGGAAATACGTCGTATTTTAAACAAGATGAAATACGAAATCTACAAGTGTTTTATAGATATCGATTTTAATTGTACCCCCTCCCCCACTAACAATAGAGCTGTAACGACGTTTTTGACTGAATAAAGATAGTTTTTGCTGTATATATATATGTTTTAATATATTTAAATATATACTTGATATTCATATGGAATATAGTTATAGTGTAACAACCAAAAATGTAGACACAATCCAACTTGGCAGTTTGGCCATAATGTAATACAAAACGGAAAAATAAAGTTTGATATAGAGTCTGCCGGCGCCCAGAGAGGGAAAAGGGTCTCCGAATACATAGTCAGACCGACAAACATAGTTGGATTACCAACAGTTCTCCTCTGGCTCTAGAATAGATCAGACCCTTCTCGACGGGCGCTGGCTTCTCTCTCTCTGAGGTGACATCCAACATGCCTTGTCATTTTGTGCAACCCCTCTGACGCCTTAAACCACTCTAACCATTGTGGCCATCACGACTGCATCTAACCTGCCTATCATGACAATCAAGAGACAGGAAAACATATCACACTATATATATATATTAAAAATAAAGAAAGCATATCCTGACCAGGAGCACATGTGCTTTACAGAAGGCAGAGCGCCATCTGGTGGAACAGAAATCAACTAAACATTAATTTAACCTGTTCCCTGATATTTGGTCAACCCAATTTATTGATAAATCAAGAAAAGCCATCCACGAAAAAAATATATATATTGGATCAAAAATAATAAGTTATTTAGCAATATTTTAGTTGGCTGAACTCCAACCTTTGTCAAGGTACAACAACGTTTTTATTTTATATAAACAATAAACTCAGTGTCACATCAGAACATCAATGGAATGCACCTTTTGTTTAGATTCAATGGGGAGATTGGGAAGAATTCAATGAGGATATAGGTAGAATAAGATGCTGTAAAGATCTCAGGTATGGAAGATTAAACTACTGAAACCGCTGTATGGGTTAATCACTGATGAGCGAGGTCTTTCCAAAATTTAAGGAATGTAGTAATGATTTGAAAACTAATAGTTAAAAAATGGTTTTAATTATGCAAACAGGACTTTTTCTGGAGTTACTTACAGCGTTGCCGGATATAACGTGGATGGGAGCACGGGCATTGGTGTAGGGGGCGTCGTTGGAGCCGTTGTAGACCTGAACAATATGTAAAAGTTGCATAGCGCCATGTTCAATAGATTTTATAGAGAAATTGTCCCTTTTACAACTACATTTCAAGCTCTATGTATTACCTCATGTTGAATTAGAATGAAGTGTGGCTACATCTAGCTTTTTCCTTAGAAATAAATTTGCTTAGCTCCACTTGGTATTCAAATCTTACATCAAGTCAAAAAGATTTGAGACTGAAAGATAGCCTGTGTGGGTAGTTGGTGACATTTGTACACTCCTGGTATTCTTGAAACTTTATTTTTTGTCGAATTCAGTGTTTACTCCTATAACTTACGGTATCTATATTTATAAAAAAGAGAGCAAAAGAAATCTCCCACAACCCATCTCTATAATATTATACAAAACAATTATATACTCATGGGAAAAACTTCAAGAATTTTCATATTTTGGTTTCGCCGGTCATGTTTTTTTTTTTAAAGAGACAGAGGTTGTTCCCACTAGGTTATCTCGTGTGCCTTCAATAAAGGTCACTGTTAGCACGTTTTCTTTGATGTTTCTTCTAGAAAGAACGAGCTGACTCAATTCGATTCAATTCGATTTATTTCACACAACAAAAAAGAATTACACTACGATTTAATGCGATTTAGTTGTATTTAACACAAAAGAAAACAGAAGAAGAAAAAAAAAACAACAAAAAAAGATGATAAGTTACAATAAAATTCTATGAATATGAATTATAATTAATTAATAAAATACAATAATAATAATTAAAAATAAAACCTAACATATAGATTACTATAATAATGATAATAAATAAAAAACCTAACATACTCCAACCCGGTGGACTACCTTAGTCCTCAGCAAAAGGTAATGGTACTATTTTAGAGACAGTTCTAGTAAGGTGTTCTTGGTGCTTGGTCTTCACCTCGACGACTCGAACTTTTCCGTCTGTTCCCGGAAAGACTTTGGTGATGCGACCAAGGCTCCAATACATTGCTGGTGGAGATATGGTATCCTTGAGCAAGATGAGGTCACCTTCCTTCATGTTGGTTGAGGATTTTTGCCATTTTAGGCGTTGTTGCAAATTGTTGAGGTATTCTCGATTCCAACGTTTCCAAAATACATTTTTAATTTTTTTATTTAGGCTCCAGCGGTCGAGGTAGTTTATCGGAACATCATCATCATTAGATTCTGGAAGGGCAGTTAAGGGTCTCCCGATTAAGAAGTGTCCTGGTGTAAGAGGATTAAAATCGTCTGAATCTGAACTTAGAGGAAAATAGGTCGTGAATTTAAACAAGCTTCTATTTGAGTTATCAGAGTACTCAGCTCTTCAAATGTGAGTATCTGAGACTTTAAGCATCTGAGAAGATGAAATTTGAAAGATTTTATTCCAGCCTCCCAGATACCTCCGAAATTTGGAGCGGAAGGAGGTATAAAATGCCAGTTGATTCGTTCATTAGATATGAATTTTTGAATTGTTGAAGCTTTCAATATATCAAACTGCTCTCGGAG